TTCCTTAGATAGTTCATATGTGTGTCTTAACAATTAAGACTAATTGCCAAACCTCACAATTCAAATTATGGAAAGGGATGCCGTAACCATGATCGAATTCGAGAATGCAATTTTACAATCACTATCTTTTAAAATCTTTCTTAGTGAAAGCATTTTCTCACAATCATTTTCATGAAGGAGGAAATCTTATAACACTTAGATTTAAACGGTGTATGTGTTCCTATCCATGTGAATTTGTTAAAATCCAAAGTTTACGACAAATTCAAACTCATATGGATCGAACTTTCTTAATCTTGATTTCTTGCCTTATGGTAGCACAGCTGCCCACCACGTCTTCCAAGTAGTTAAGTAGCTCACCCTTTCCTATCAATGTACTTTCCATTGATCAAGGTCCTTGCCTTTTATGCATTCAAATGAGAACTCATAGGACTCATATGCATAATTAACTCAATTGGATTGGCACAGAAACAAAATAATGTCTTCACGATAGGTTGTAAACCTCAACTCGTGTGCTAGTGATGATCGATACGGTTTATTTGATTTGTTCTTGAAACTTTTCAAGACTATTAAGACTCCCACTGACTCCTTGACATATACGATTCTCTTATCAAAACATTTCTTGACAACCAAATATTTAAGAGTTAGTGTAGCTTTTATCAAAACAAAACACTTCATAATTTTGGTCTTAGTTGGTCTTTGTCTTATCCAAGACATCACAACTTTCCACAATTAATGAATGTTATAAACCTTCTTAATACTATTCACTCAATGTCACAATCTTGACTTTAAGACTTGTTTTGGAACGAAGCATGATTGACTTATTGATTTGACCATTTCTTCAATCTTTGATTCCTCTTCTTGGACATACAATTGTACCAAGACTCACTTAGAGGATCAATTGAGATATGGTTCTTAATCATTAAGACCTATCATAACGCATAAAAGCTACTCTCCCTTCTTCTTAGAATGGAGAAACTCTTATCTTTCTGCCTACTTGATTCTTCTTATTCGTTTTGCTATTGATCTAAACCCTTTAATCAATTCAAAATTACACTTAATCTTGTAAGTGTAATCATATTTACTAAGCCTTTAGTACATCATGACGAATATCTTTGTTACTCTTATAGTGAACTTGATCAACACACAACTTTGTGTACTCGATCTCCTAGTCCTTCACTTGACACTTTGTCAATGAATTAGTCCAATTTCCAAATACGAAATTTCTCATTCATCGTGCATCCACGTTGCATGATTCCAAGTTTCTGTCCAATTGAAACTTGGGCGATGAGAAACTCTCCCTATTTGGTAAATTCTCGACATTTCCATAAATAACATAACTAAGAATCATATCCATTCGTTGTAGAAATATGCAAACATTAATTTTCACATAACGATTTCATTGCAAGGAAGTAAACAAATAAATAAATAAGTCAAACAAAATTTATTTTATTTATAAAAGCAGCGGAAAAGCATTTGTCCTTACAATGCAAAATCTATTGAAAACTATGTAAAAAGAAAATTTCTAACAACTCTATCATAACTATCTAAGCTCAAAATCCAATCTTCAAGTCCATGAGATCGAGATCCATCTCTTGTGATTAGATTCATCTTGCTCTCTTATCAAGCTTCCTTTCTTTTCACCGATCCTTCAAAACATTCAAATGCAATCTTATCACATCATGTATTAAGAATCAATGAATAGGAACTTAATGGAGTTAGATAGTGGATTCTTACCTAAAGCATAGTCATACTTTTGACTCTCCCATCTCTTAGATCTCTTAGGTAGATAGGTCAACTTCGTCTCCAATGCCCCTTCTCTTGGTAATAAAAGCAAATTGACTCCTTTGGAACAACACATGGAACTGCTTCAGATATCGCCTTTCTCTTATGATCAAACTTTTCGATCATTGCATGTCTTTCATTGCCATTGTCTATATCCATAGAGGTCTTGAAGGCAGATTCACCAATCAACTTTGCTTTTCTATTGCGCCAAACCATTGTTGATTCAACATCAATAAGCATGTAGGTGAGATCTATAAGGGTCACGTCGCGGTTCATCATATAGTACTCTCTTACGAACTCACTATATGAGTTAGGAAGCGATTGAAGAACCCAATCAACAGCCATCTCTTCACCGACAACGGATCCCATCATTCTTAACCTATCAATGTGTGACTTCATCCCTAAGACGTGTACACACACCGACTTGCCCTCTTTATGTTTACTTGCCAAAAGGGCTTGAATGATATTGAACTTTTCAATTTTACAATCTTGTGGGTTAGGGAGAATAATTGGAGGAGGAGGAGGAAGTGAAGCATGATTACTTGTTCCTCGATCGAATCGTGGAATATCATCTTCATGTGGAATGCTTGTTCCACGGGATTTGAGAAGACCATAGTTGTCGAACTTTGACATCGGGAGAAAAAACGAATTCAAGTTAGTTGATTGATTGAGTCCTTGGTAAATCACCCAAATGAATTTCCAAGGCTAGGACCCAACACAATATCCTACAACTCGGGAGAGGGATGTCGTAACCCAAATTGCAGAACATTTGAAGGTAAGTGAATGACGATTCACTAGTTTCCACCATGAAAAACGAAAAAGAAATTTAAGTTTTAGATCTATGAAAACTCCTAGATCCTTTGAGATTCATTGAACATTTCAATGGCATGTTTAAATCTCGATATGCCCCTCTAGTTTGTGATTGGGATGCCGAGGATCACAAAGCGGGTGTGAATAACCATGCAAACTACATGGTGCCCTCACATGTTACAATCACCTATTCGATGTGCCGGTAAACCACACACGCTCCACCGAACTATGACAAAGATTGAGTCACCCTTTGCTACCTTTGCTTAGAACCATTTAGTGTGCCGGTAAAGCACACACGCTCCACTAACGTCTTCACAAGGGCACAAAGTGTAATTTCATGGAATTGCATCAATTCACTTTTGCCTAAGTAACTAAGATTGGGAATTTGAAAAACATTTAGTTACTTTGTATTTCATTATACTTATAATAAAAGGTTTCGTCCTATCCTACCCGTTCGGCTAACGACCCTCCACTAGTCAAGAGTGTGGTGGGTAACAGTGGATACCCATTCAATCGCCATTTTATAGGCAATTTCCTTAAACACCCCTTATAGACCAGCTTCGTGAATGAGGCCTACTAACGGTAAGACTGACTTTTACTCATACATATATATAATGTTAGACCTTTAATGTTATATATATAATATAGGGGGTATTTCACACTTTTAAAATACTATATGGTTAACTTTAACAATTACACTTTTAATTCAATTAAATGGTTAACCTAAACTTTTATGGATTTATTAAACCTCTTTTAATTATACTCATTAATTAATTAATAAAACCATAAGGGTGTGATTTGAACTTTTCAAAACATTACTAGGGTTTTAGAATTTAACATTTCTAATTAATAAAACCATAAGGGTGTGATTTATTAAATGGTTCTGCTCTCCGGTGTTTTATGTCTGGCCCCTGTCTGTATATACTAGTTGGAAAGTATTGTTTAAACGCTTATATAATAATAATAATAATAATAATAATAATAATAATAATAATAATAATAATAATAATAATAATAATAATAATAATAATAATAATAATAATAATAATAATAATAATAATAATAAAAATAATAATAATAATAATAATAGTAATAGTAATACTAATAATAGTAATAGTAATAGTAATAATAATAGTAATAATAATAATAATAATAATAATAATAATAATAATAATAATAATCTACTCTTCTAATAAAACATTACCACAGCCGCCACGTGGCAATTGCTAAACCCCCTCCCAACGATTTTTCCCGATCCAAATTCTATGTGAAGTTCCGAAGATACCCTTTCTGCCTCTTCAAACCTCATCTGCCTTCATTCCGCTCTGTTCGTTTGAAACAATTGAGAGTTTCCAACTTCTATGCGATAAATCAGCTCCTAAAGAAACCGGCTCTCAAATTCCAGAGATTGTTGAAAGTAATCATTTCCAAAATTATTTATTTGTCTCTTTATTTATATGATTACAATTCCATACCCTTTCATTTTAACCCTAATTTTGTAACCGTAAATTGAGCAGAGCCAACAATTCATTTTTTTTTTCTGGATTATAGTATTCTTAAATAGTTTCATTGGTCTCTTTCTACGAAACACATAATAATAATAATAATAATAATAATAATAATAATAATAATAATAATAATAATAATAATAATAATAATAATAATAATAATAATAATAATAATAATAATAATAATAATAATAATAATAATAAGAATAAGAATAAGAATAAGAATAAGAATAAGAATAAGAATAAGAATAAGAATAAGAATAATAATAATAATAATAATAATAATAATAATAATAATAATAATAATAATAATAATATTATTATTATTATAATAATAATAATAATAATAATAATAATAATAATAATAGTAATAATAATAATAATAATAATAATAATAATAGTAATAGTAATACTAATAATAGTAATAGTAATAGTAATAGTGATAGTAATAGTAATAGTAATAGTAATAATAATAATAATAATAATAATAATAATAAATAATAATAATAATCTACTCTTCTAATAAAACATTACCACAGCGGCCACGTGGCAATTGCTAAACCCCCTCCCAACGATTTTTCCCGATCCAAATTCTATGTGAAGTTCCGAAGATACCCTTTCTGCCTCTTCAAACCTCATCTGCCTTCATTCCGCTCTGTTCGTTTGAAACAATTGAGAGTTTCCAACTTCTATGCGATAAATCAGCTCCTAAAGAAACCGGCTCTCAAATTCCAGAGATTGTTGAAAGTAATCATTTCCAAAATTATTTATTTGTCTCTTTATTTATATGATTACAATTACCCTTTCATTTTAACCCTAATTAGTATTCTTAAATAGTTTCATTGGTCTCTTTCTACGAAACACATATCTGGCTATGGAACAACGAAGAATCAGAAATTGATGGTCATCTTCACCAACAACTTCAGGTAAACATAAGTCTGTTCCTCCCCCGATCGATTTCAGTAAACCCTCCGAATCTAACACTCAACTACTTCATCATCGATCATCATCAAGGTTAGTTTCAACTTGTAAAATCTCTTTTCCTTCTCTTATCGGTTCTTTATTCTCTCAATTTTGCTTGATTGCATCATTTTGATTCCAGTGTTGTTCGTTAGTGATAGGTCTTTGTTCATTTTAGGGCTGGTAAATCTGATTCGATCAATTTCATAATGTTTGCTGATTTATTGGAGACTTTAGCATTAATATTACATTTATTTGTCGATAAATCCACTTTTATTTCTTCTTGGTTTGTAACAGTTTTTGTTTGACTATTTTCGGGTAATTTTGTTGATTTGGTATTGATTCTAAGTGCATATATCATTAAAAAGGTCATGTTTATATACAACCTAACTGTTGTATTAGTTTAGTGCAGTAACTTGTGAGATACCAAATACTATTAGGTTTCATGAATTAATGCTCTTATGGAGAATGTAACAAATGGACAAGAGAATGATTAGGAACATGCTGATTTTATAGAGATTATGTGATAAGTTTCTAAAAATTATTTTGTGGAAGAAATAAATGGATAGACTAAAGTTCGGAACCATGGTACTTTGAGAAGCATGCATAATACATTTACAGCAAATCCTTTTATCTCAAAGCAGTGAGATGGACTAAAATTAGAAATCATAACAAATGCAACCTATGGAAAATCTCTTGACAATATCTTTTTGTTAGTTTTGACTACTAAAATTAGTGATATATTTTTCATTGTCCTTTTGCCAGGTACACTTGCTTGTATTGTTGAAGATCAATTACCATTTACTGACCTCCTAAACCCTAAACCAGTTCTATCCGCTAATGAAATTTTCATGTTGACACACACATTTTCTTTTAAAACTCCACTATAAACTTCAAAAAATTCAAACTTTGTTTTGATTTATTTAACAGAGTGTTTTTTTAATCTTTGTAAATCAGTCTTGGTGTTTTTTGTTTAAAGTAGATAAAATTATTTACACTTATAGTAATGCAATTTGAAATTAATCCCATTTACATCATATTACTTTCAGAACTAATACATTATGTGTCATTGTTTTTTGTTAGGTGTTATTTTGATATGTTTTTTAATGTCATGAGTGTGTTAATGTAGGTAAATGTGACTATATATGTGATACTTTATTTTTTTTCCAACATGGACCAATTCTAAAATTATTAATTGATGTCAACAATTAAAGTACTTTAACGTTTGAAGTACTTAACTTATGTTGCTTTCCTTAAATATCATATGACTACCTGTATTTAGTATTCAGGTAACTCATTTACAACAAAGTGAATTTTCTGAGTTTGTTTTAGGATTATTTTGCAGCATTTGGACCATTTTGCCCCTGATATCTGCTCATCAGTTTTTACTTCTATTTTGATATGGGTGATAAATTATCTATTTGATTGGAAAATAAGTGAAGATCATGCCTAAGTATAGGATAGTATGTAGTTGAAAGATGGCAGTCAATTTTGGGAAGCCACTGATGGATGTTTTCACTTTTATTAGTAAAAAACATGAAGAATGAGATTCAATCCAATGTTTTAGTAAATTTAATGAATGCTTATATGTAAATATTGTACTTTTATACCATCAAAGTAAACAAGGTTACATTTCAATTTGAATATTTTTGTTAATTTTTTTAAACAAGTACCATTTTTTTTGTTTTTTTTATACAAGGACCATTTACGTTAATTTTTTAAATAGGGATCATTTATGTTAATAGATTTTTTTTGGTTTTTTTTTCACCTGTATCGTGTGTATTGCATGAAAAGGTAACATACTTTGATTTTATTGTTTGGTTTTCTTTCACTTGTATGGTTTTTTTTTTTCGTGAGAACAATGTACTTTTTTTTGGGTTTCATGTCACCTGGTATGATTTTGTATGTGAAAGGGAAATGTACTTTGATTAATTTTGTAAGTGATAGTGACATACTATCTAAATTTACATAAATGGAAACTGAAATTTACCATTTTATTAAATTTATATGTATAATTTAGCATCCTACTTCCTAATTATGTCATATTATGTGTAAGTTTGCTTCAAATCGAAAGTAGGTTGCTATAAATTTACTAATTTTCAAAGTCACAATGGCATACTATATAATTTTACACAATTACCCTTTTATTTACAATAAACTAGATTATAACAACCTAGTTTCATTTAGTTTGCAGCCTACTTTTCTTTAATTTAACCTCATAACATCATTCCGTTTAAGCATTTATTTTGATTATCTTACTATCAAAGTTGCATGTTACAAGTATGACTAGGATAATGATTAAAGCTAAAAGAGTAATCTTGGTTGAAATAATTAACTTTTGAATTATAAGTTGATATAACTTTTATTAGTTTGATTTACGTTAAGAAGGATCCTTTTTTATTCATTATGCTTTATGTTTTACTGTAAATCGAGAATAGATTTATAACCTTAATAATATATCTTTTTTAAAAAGAAAAAACATTATTATTAATAAACAAAATAAGAGCAAAGAACCAGAATTAAAGTAATGATAGAAGGTAAATGAATTACTAAATATATCCTTATGATATCTAACTTTACATGAATTAAAGTAATTACAAATTACAAAGTTATTAAAAAACACAATATTACAATTCATAAGTTTTCTAAATTAATGCTATATTATTTTATTATATAATAGTAATAGTAATAGTAATAGTAATAGTAATAATAATAATAATAATAATAATAATAATAATAATAATAATAATAAATTAGGAACCAAATACACTCATTATCCAAACTATAGGGATGATTCGTGTAATTTACCGTAATACATCCCCTAATAATAATAACGCATTTCTTTTTCCCTAAAAAAAACGCTCCGCAGACCGCAGCTTCATCCTTGTGCTGCTTCATCGCCGACGAAGGATCCGTCGAAACTGCTCATCGCCGGCGCTGTTCAGTTTTTCTGTTTTTTCGGAAATTTGCTTGCTCTCCATCGCTTTTCGTTTGTTTCATTCAATCGCTTTCTTCTTCCCTCCCACTACCTTGATTTTCGATTGGTGATGTCCAAGAACAGAGCATCTAATTTCATTTGGTTGCGTTCGGTGATTTCAATTCGGTTTGTGGTGTTGCTAAACAGGGTATCTAGTTTCGTTCAAGAAGAAGGTAATTAGAAGTTTATTCTTTGTTCATGTCGTTCTGTCGTTGATTTATAAGCTTTTGTTTGTATGAATTGTAATTTTGATAGGTCTTTGCTATTGATCAATTAAGCACAACAATAAACAATTAAACATATTCCCTATTTCCATAATTCCAAGTAACAGTGTTTTCTTCAATGCTTTTTCTCTTTCAGAATTCATTTCATATGATGTTTCGATTCATCTTAACTGAACGTTCTTTCTTCCCTTGACAAGTTTTGATTTATTATAGATACGGTCAATCTGATTTCATTTTTCACGTTTCTATTGTTGATCGAATTAACATTCAAACTCGATAAGATTTCAGCAAACCATATCTGATTAAGCTCGCCTTCCACTTGTTCTGAGGTGCTAGTATTCGATTATCAAACCTCTGCATAACTCTATTATCAAACCTCTTCATATTCAATTATCAAACCTGTGTAGGTGTTCGATAAAATGGGACACTACAGCTGATCCTGGGTAAAATTTGCTACTCTCATCAGTGCCAATCAAACACTATTTTTCCTTCCCGCCATGTGTTCGATAAAATGCCTAAATGAAATTCTCAAGTGCTGCCCACAATGATATTGGAAAATTCGATAAGACGGTTTTTATATTAGCACTTCTACTTGTTCTTAATGGAATTGTAAGCAGTTCTACTTGTTCTGTATCTGCTTTGTTCAAACTCTTTTTGGTTCTGAATTGCCTATAAATCTTGAATGCTTCTTCTGTTATTAATTTGAAATGCATATGAATCTGTGTAATTTTTTTTATGTGTTTAAAAGAAAGCATGTGCATTAAGAATCCGGAATGCTTCTTTGTCAACTCCCTAATACAATGATGTTAAATCATATAGAAAGTACTAAATTACAACTCATATTTCAGGCTTGTAGTTCAAGAAAACTCAGCACACATTATAAAACTAAAATTAGTAGCAAATCATAAAATCCCAATAATAGTACTTAACATTGTAATGTCTATAAATTTGGTTGTTTTTGCAAAATTAGTTGAAAATGAAAGAGATCTTGGCTGTTTGTAATCATTACGAATTATGATCTTCTTTTTAAAAATGAAAAAATGATTCTTTATTGAAAAAAAAAATGAATTTTTGATAGCTAAGAAAATTTGTTCTTCTCTTGTGACACCATTTAGGCAACTAACAATGCTTCCATTAAAAGATATCACACCAGCAGCAAGAAACAACATCAACACACAGTTCATAATTTTGGAAAAAGGGAAGATAACATTAGAAGGAGGACAAAACAAGACATGTATGGGATTAGTTGCAGATGAAACTGCATCTGTTCACTTTCAATTATGGAATGAAGAGTGTGATGCGTTTGAGGCAGGAGACATTATTCGTTTGTCAAATGGGATATTTTCTTACCAACGTGGCAATAATCTTGTTTTGAGGGCAGGGAAAAGAGGGAAGGTGGAAAAAGTGGGAGAGTTTACAATGGCGTTTGTTGAGTCACCAAATATGAGTGAGATTTTGTGGCCCCGGATCCGAATAATTCGGGGAAATACGTACGAGAGTCTGTAATTTCGACCCATTCGCGTATTTTCCCACCAACCGTTTAGATTGTGTTTCTTTAGAATAGGTTGGATTGTATTCTACTGGACAAGTTTTGTAGGACTATTTTTTGATGATAAAAAAGAAGAAGGGTATTTACGTCTTTTGTATCAGAAATTGAGAGTGTCTCTGGTTCACTATGTTTTATCTTTTTGTTAGGAAAAAGTTGCAATTTTTATTTAGTTTTTCTTTTTTACATTGAACGTCAGTGGTGTCAAGTCGTGTCATGTCATAACTTATTTAAAATAAAATTACCGGGACATGTGTGTGTGGGCCCCACACACATATGTTATATTATTTGGGGTTCATTTTAAGATCACCCTTGTTTAAAGGATTATGTACGTGATTATGTTTTGTAGATGTTTCCGTACATCTACAAAACTCTAGAAAAAGTATGTTATTATGGGTGCTTTGAATGGTGTGATGAATAAAGAAGGGGGTTGTAATAGCATCAAATAAGGGGGATGTTGTAGCATCATTTGGGTACTTAGTGGATGAATTAAGCATCAAATTAAACACACGAGGTTATAGCATGCGGAAGTTGTATAAGATATATCATCCTACTTTCTAAAGGAAGGTGTTAATGACATCCTACTATCAAAGTAAATGAATGATAAATAGAAATATATACACATTAATGTTTTATGTCAAAAGTGCATTGTCTATTCAAAAATAAATTTATTTTTTTAGTTAAAAGTGCATTGCCTGTTTAAACAAATTTGATTTTTTATTCGTCAGTTTTATGTCAAAACTGCATTTCCAAGACACATGTATGCAGCATAAAGTTACTGAACTTGAGATATTTGTGTAGAATAAAGTTGAATTTCTTGGCTTCTTTTGCTCTCAATTCTCTCTTTGTAGGTGAAACATGGTTGTGAATTAGTGCTTCATATTACCTTTGGATTCAACAAATAACACTCAAACCCTCAGTTCATATGAGAATTCAGTTATGTTACTCCACCAATACTATCAAGACTTTGAGTACCTTTATTTTGAGATACTATACCCCTTTTGAGGACAATGATGGTTTTTTTTTTTTTTTGCACAGCCACAATTTTATAAAGAAAAACTAGCAAAAGCTAGAAATCAAAAACCAATTACAAAGAGTCATATAAAAGGGGGGTTTTGCAACCACTGGGACCAAGATATGCGACTTTTGCTATTCCTACTAAAGATCCAATTAAAAGAATGAATGACAATGCCTTAAAAGATATAACATTTCCATAATATACTACTGGACATTGATTCCCAAAATCATTATCATCTGCAAATTTCAAGAACCATATTAGATTTTGTTGGATAAATTAACACATAACGGAAATGTTAATTACTTGATGGGTAGCTATATTAACCGTTACCTCACATTTCTTGGTGTATTTCATCACTACATGTGCGTTAGCTGAACATCATGTGGAATGCATACAACTTCCTAAGGATCCAAGGTACCAACATAAATGTAAATGTAATTGTATCATCATCTGATATGTTGACTGTGATTTCAAGTAGGCTTAGCTTCATGTTAAGATAAATTTAATCTTCAATTAGATTAACTGCAACTTAACAAAAGACATATCATAATAGAAAAAATGAAAGTAAGAAAATTACCTTCCTATTTTTTACAATTAGCTCCTAAAGACTTCCCAATTGCCATAGCTCCTCCTTAATACAATAAGCTTTGGGATAATTTTCCCGTTCTATTGTTGTGAACACTCTGAAAAAACAAAAGGAATCAACAAAACCCAACAAAATTTCAGATTAGTGGGTTCTTTATCCCCGAATTAGTGTATTTTTCCCAAAAAAAAAAAAAGCTCCATGTAACATCCCAAAAATCATGACCGAAAATCTCATTTTTAAATCATTTATCGAACCAAAATCTATCAATTCATAGCATAAGTCGTAACATAAAGTCGGGGTGTTAATTTAAAACATGTTCTTATTATCAGAGTAAACATCTCAAGCCAAACTTCTTGGTGTGTGCCATGCGATCACCCCGAGCTCTTTCCGCCACTACCGGAAGTACCTGAAACTAAAACTGAAAATCATAAGCACGAAGCTTAGTGAGTTCCCCAACCAACCAAATACCATATACGCATAACCAGGAACACATAACCATATACTGGGCCCCCGCCCACTGCATCTGGCCTCGCCTGTCATCGGGCCCCGTCCGGCCTCAGGCCCCGTCTGCCATCAGGTCTCACTTGGCATCGATCCCCGCTCGATATACAGATTTGTTTCTCATAGGTCCCGCCTGTTTCTGGGCCTCGCCCTCCATACACATACATACAAACAAAATATCATACTAGTGCATACAAAACATAATCTAACTGAACCATGTTCTAAGGCCTTGCCTGACTTGGGGCCCGCCCTTAGTCTGCTACTGAAGTAGTGAAACCCCGTTCATACTTCTACTAGTAGTGAGATACGGGCCCCCGCTCACACTCACACCCTTCCTATCACGGGCCTCGCCCCTACTATACTAATATCGAGATATGGAACCCCATCCATACTCAGCTAGTGATGAGATACGGGACCTCGCTCACACTCACCTCCTTACCAGGCACATACAAGTATCACGAACACAACAAGTATAATCTAACATTCAACCTAAGAACCTTCCTCGGGATTCCCTGGTATCGAAACCCCAGTCCGGAGACACACTATTACCTAACATACTTCGGGCTTACCTCGACATCGGACCCTCGGTCCGAAACCTACCATACTGACACATGCAAGAATCACAAAGACCTCTAGCATCCTAACATTCATCGGGCCTCGCCCAACATCAAGACATAACCCGGAACATATATCAATAAATGCCTAGGGCTAACCCCCGAGTCTTCCTTCTACTCATAAACATAAGCATAAACATAATGGGCCGACATTATGGCCGTAGACCCATGCACACAGTGAGGAGACTCACCTTGCACTGTTGAACCCTGCTGATACTCCTCCTGACTGCTAACTGGCAATTCCCGAACTGCTGATCCTCCGATTCCCCGAGCTACCAATACCAAAATACAATTAGTCCAATTCAATAATCCTTCTTAGGGTAAAAGGGCCATTTTACCCCTAATCCAATTTGGTCCATAACTAAGGCCCAAACCATAATATAAAAGGCCCAATACTATGTAAGCTTCCCAAGCCCACTAATGGCCCAATTTGCCAAATTGGGCTCAATCCCTCTAATAGGCCTTACCCCAAGCCCAAAACTTACAATTGAACCAAATTAGCTGATTCCTGATGGCCCATGAAGACCAAAGACCCAAAGCATGGCCTAAAACACGGCCCAAATATACAAAACCCAAACAGATGGATTACGCAGCGCGTACCACTACGTACGCTAAGCGTACTGGCCAGGTAGTGCGTACGCTGGGCGTACCTCCTTGTACGCTCAGCATAAATCTCCTGTTAAGTCCTTTTTTCCATTAAGTGCTTATTACACCACTCTAGAGGCTACAAACTCAGATCCAGATCCTTTTCCATGTCTTATTTCATAAAGTCACGGACTTGGTGACTTTACTTGGCCCCAAACAACTCAACTCCAAAAATGATCTTCCACTTCCAAAAAGAGGGCTAGATCTCATGCATGACTATGAATGGGCTAGCAAGTTCGAAACTTTACTACTTATGGACTACTCTTAGCCTTGAGGGTGGCAACCCTAAGCTCAAAAACGAGATTCCATCTTAAAGGTCTAATCTTGGGACCCAAAATGACTCCAAAACTAGATCTGTTCATCCTTAATTAAAGTCATGAACTTCATACCTCCAAGAAGTCTGAAATGAAGCAATAACCCCAGATTTATATATTCGCCTTTAGTCCCCCACCTTCCTTGTTCTTCACTTGCTTGAGGAAATGGCTTTACAACTCTAGAATATTGTCCACAGGCCTCTAAAGCTCCAAAACACTCAAAGGAGGGTTAGGGTTTCATAGCAGCTCTTTAAGGTGGAATGGAGGCTGAAACTTGAGTGTATAACATTCCTTATATAGTGGCACACCCTAAATTTAGGGTTTCTAGACTCTGGACGTATGTTGGGCGTACGCCTATGATACCCGCGATCATTCTCCTTTATACATTGGGCGTAATCCAGCTTACGTTGGGCGTACCCGCACGCTTCCATTTTGCCTGCATGGTCCTCCATGCCAACTTTTCTCCATAAGGGACCATTTATGCCACTATCTTACAAGTGCCATGACTTCCTCACCCGATGTCTGTTTCTGACGAACTTTATATCCATGAAAAGGGGACGAGAAGCACTACACTCCTAACGATACACTTCGGACCAAAAATTCTCAATTAAAAACTTCAAGACCCATAGAAGACCGAAACGCTCCTCGCCTCGAGATCTGAAATCCCTAAACAAATACTTTCAGAACAGGGCGTTACACTCCAAATTGCAATAGTATGAATCATGAAAACACCAATAATAACATTAATACATATATGATTGAATAGAATATCACTTTACACAACAAATGTATACCTTTTAAACAATTTCAACTCAAAGTTGATGCAAAAATAAATGTATAATAAAGTTTACCTCAAATATGGTTCAAGTATGTATGAGGACATTTTGATCACAAAAACGAATCATTAGGCCAGCTATTACGTTTTGATCCGAGAAAGTCTTCACATGTGTTTTTGCTGCATATTTCTCTATGTTCAAGGTTAACCTGCAACAACCACTTACACTATTACATTATGACCCCATTAGATAAAATTTCATATTCCATGCATATTTATACCCCATTTATAACAAAAAAGACTGGAAATTTATGTCGCGTTATCATTACTGCATTCAAATTAAATTGCCTACGAATATCTTCATCAAAAAGTTGAAGTTCAATGAAGAGGCATGTCAATAGTTGAAGTGTAATGCTACTCTATTTCAAAAAGCTTAGAGAAAAGAAACAAATTCCTAAGTTTTGTATACATATATAAACACAAATACACACAAATAAACAAATTCAAAGCCTAAACTTATCACCTCTGATTTGAGAGCACCATGGTTTGCAATCAAGCAATGTACTGGATTTCTTTTCATTAATAGCAACAAAAAATTCACTCGTGAGGTGGAATTCTAATTATACCTGG